TTGATCTGCCTCTACCTTGCAAAGTAGCAGGGCAAAAGAGAAATTGGAATTTCATCACTTTGTTCCCCCGCTGTTTCTCCAGCTGCTTTCTTTCAGATGGATTGCATTTGCAATGGAGTTTTAAATGAAGGAGGAATAAATAGCAATTGTGAGTTTATTTTCATGTCTATTACAAGACTGAGCTTTTATTGTAAGGAAGGGCTTAATCCTGCAATTTTTTGCCCAGCGGGGCTGTCTCATTGAGTCTGGCTGCCTGCATGTTTGCACCCATGGGAACTCGAGTAAACGTATTGCAACCAACAGGTCTGCATCCAAAAAGCAGTTGGTTATTGCTCAGCCTTAGGGTTTTGCCCACCAATTGGCAGATTTCATGACTCAAACGCTGAGATTGATTCAAGCGTGCTTGGTTCATATCAATGCAAGTCCTCAATAGCAAGATATTCAAAGGCAGATGCAAGTTGCCAGGCTTCTCAAATGCGTGTGGCTCCTTTGAGAGCTGCTCTCTCAGGTTCTACCCATCTCATTTAACTCTTCTGACTGAAAGCTGTTCTGTATTCTTGTGCGGTCCATGGAGGTCACCACCAAACCGCAGATTCTCCCGTTCCAAAGCAGAGGATGGAGAGGCCCCTGAAAATGGGTTTTCCACTTTCACCAGCATTACGTGGGTAGACCAGATAGCTGAGTCAGGGTGTGCAGAGCTGGCCAGGCTGAAACCCACCCTTGGTTACTAACAGCGTGATGCGTCAGTACTTTCCTTTCCCCCCTCAGGCTCCTTTTACATATGAAACTTGTCTTTTTTGGCTAAAGAATACATCAACTGCTTTGGAGTCCATTGTTAATAATAGTAATAAGACAGGTCCTCCAACCAAGTAAAAAGAAATTAATTTCTTTCCATTTCACATTTGCACTAGGGTGGAGGTGATGCGGTTGTCACTCATCTGGAAGGAATTCGAGAGGTAATTACAAAAGGCAGAACTGTGAGCACAAGGAGCTGTAGCTACAGGTTTGGGGTATGGGGTGATGGCAAAGGGGGGCCCCCACCCTGCTCTGTTGATGAAACACAGGGTTTCCAGGTAGCTCCTGGGGGAGTGTCTCCCATGCGCCCTGCAGCTCCAGGCATGTAATGAATTTGCTGCTCTGATGCAGATAGCTTGCTCTGATACAGACTTTCTCCTCCATCAAAGGATAATGCTTGTGCTCACTCAAGCTGCTCTGTAGTTCTTCCTCTTAACCAGACAAAGGGAGCTGTGTTTGGGCAGGTCCCCTCGTGTGAGAACCCCCGTGACGTAGCAGAGGACCTCTGAAAGGTTGAGCAGGCTCCGGGTCCTTTTCCTTCCCTTCTCCTCCTCATTTCTTCCTCCCAGGCTCAGCAAAGAGGGCACGCAGCAGCAGGTGCAAGCCCCAGACCAAGGGGCAGGAGGTCCTTTTCCACCATGCTATAAACCTGGGAGTAAAGTTTTGGCTGAGTTTGGTCCTGGCGTTATGCTGATACCAAGGCAATAACTCTCCTTTGAGATTAGGAAAGTGAGTTCTGACTCTGTGAAGGCAATAAAGGCAGCTCCAGCCCCTTGAGTGAGAAATCTGAGCCATTTTCTGCACTCAGACACTGAACAGAGGATACTTCCAACAGCTCTTCCTCACCTCCTCTCCATCTCTCTGCACTGCTGCTCCTCTCCAGCATCCACCTTCATCTGATGATGGATGATGCCCTTTCTCAGACAAGGCTGGAGGTTTTGGAAGTGCCTCTGTGTGTTTTGTTTTCACAAATACATCCATTTGTAAAAGAAGAGCGTGTCTTACTAACCTGCGTTGGTTCACCTGTGCTACCTAATCTCAGCTTAATTATCAGTAAAGCCAAGGCTGTAATTTAGGTTAATTGCTTAAATTAAAGCCTTTGGGTTAAACTTGGGCTGCTAACCTAAATTCAAACCCTACTCATTTTGACCGTAATTTACTATTTCATCCAAAGTTAATGAAGCCTTGCTGGTCACCTGAGCTTTTTCCATGGGGGACCACGGGACTCCATGTGCTCCCCACATGGATGTGCTGTGGGGATGGGCACCTCTGGGAGACCTCCTGAGCAGGAGCCGAGTGTCCCTGAATCTCATTTCCTGAAGGGATGAATTAGGATGAACTCCTCAGAAGCTTTCCCATAGGTGTTGCCCCGCGATGGGTGTTGCAGCCCTTTGAGCCTGTTCCCAGCAGTATCTGGAGGCCAGTCAGCTATAACTACCGATGGCTTTGAAGTGTAGGTGTGACCTGCTTTCTCCAGATAATTGTTTTCTGGGCTAGCAGGGAGACACTGATGCAGCCCAGGGATTTGGAATAACTTTGCCTTCATTACTGCTGTTGTTGCCAGATGCTTTATACAGAGCAGGGAGGTCTCCTTTCCCCTTATGGCTTGTTGCATCTCGAAAGAGCCGCTGACCATAGGTGGGTATGAGCTGATACCTCCTTTTTCCTATCCTGCTGGCAGCACTGGTGCTTATTTGGTGGTACCCAAAGAAAGCCAGATGTCCCAAATTGCATTGCAATGCTTTCTGAGCCTATCTTTATCACCTTTAATCCCTACCCTTTAACTCCTTGAAGCCCTGAACAGGGCTGCTGGGGCTGTGATCTCCACTAAGCTTCACATGGAAACCAAGATCTTCCAGCACTGAAGGTTGTTGCAGCAGAGCGTCTGTAGCATCATTAGTGATTTAGTTAATGATATGTAGCAGCATTAACGGTTAGACTTGATGATCTTAAAGGTCTTTTCCAACCTATTTGATTCTATGATTCTATCTCCTGCTTTCTCCTTGCCCCAGGGTACATCTTTTATCCCGGTAAGGAAAACCAAGCCCTGGAAGTCCCATTTCTTCTTGACCAGCTCTGTGCCTGCACATGGCTTCATCCTGCACCAAGTGCTGCTCCTGGTTCGAGTTTCCTTGTGAAGAGCTATAGCACCTGTGTGAAGTGTAACATCTCCCTGTTAAACTGAATCTGCTCAATGCTGTTCTCAGAGTCGGTAAGATAAACAAGGATCATTCATGTGTCCCAGGAGGTGTATCCAGTCGTAGAACTGTGGAATGGTTTGGGGTTGAAGGGACCTTAAAATTCACCCATTCCAACCCCCTGCCACTGGCAGGGACCCCTTCCACTGGAGCAGGGTGCTCCAAGCCCCTGTGTCCAACCTGGCCTTGAGCACTGCCAGGGATGGGGCAGCCACAGCTTCTCTGGGCACCCTGTGCCAGCGCCTCAGCACCCTCACAGGGAAGAGCTTCTGCCTAAGAGCTCATCTCAGTCTCCCCTCTGGCAGGTTCAAGCCATTCCCCTTGGCCTGTCCCTACAGGCCCTCGTCCAAAGCCCCTCTCCAGGTTTCTTGTAAGCCCCCAGCTTTACAAAGCCGTAATTTCCTTGCCCCTTCCCATGTGCTGGAGGGGACGATCATGGGGTGAGCCCCACTCCAGCCCCACCATGGGACCTTCAAGCCCTTGCAGAGCAGCTCCGTGCCTTTCTCTTGCTCTGGGCCCCCACCTGCTGGAGACACCAAGGTGGATTGTCCGGTGCTTGCACACCTCTGGGGATGGGTCCCGTTGACTCAGGAGCTCAGGTGTTTCCATGTGGGAAGAGCTCCGGCATGCCGAGTGCGAGGTGCTTTTGCCTTGCAGATATGCTGATGTCCCCCTCTCCTCTCGCTCCTTCGGGGTCCTACCTGGGTGCATATGGAGTTTGAAGGGAATGAGGGGTAGGTTGGTGGATACCAACCAGTCTCCTTTTAGGATCAGCATCCCCAGTGGGCTGCAGGCGCTTTCTCATCTGCTCCCCTTCCTACCCTGGCCCCTTTCCTCACCCTTGGTTCATGCTCCAGCTCCTGCCTCCATTGAGTTCCCACCTCCCACTGTGCTTCCTGGTCACTGCTGCCAAAGCCCTAGAGCCTCACAGGGAGCAGGAGCAGGGGGATGCCCACGGAGCCACAGGAGGGAGCCCAGGAACATCACGGGAGCCTGGCTGGAGCCCTCCATCCAGGGAGGTCATTGCAGCCTCCCTAGGGGGGCTGGATGGGGATTGGGAACCCGAGTGCTGGGGGCGCCTTGGAAGGCCTCAGGTTCATACAAAATGAAGCTCAGGCCCCAGAACATCCTCTATTGAGGAGCAGCCAGGATACCTAGTGAGGCACAGGGTGGCTGCCCCATCCCTGGCAGTGTTCAAGGCCAGGTTGGACACAGGGGCTCGGAGCACCCTGCTCCAGTGGAAGGGGTCCCTGCCCGTGGCAGGGGTTGGAACTGGATGAGCTTTAAGGTCCCTTCCAACCCAAACCATTCCATGATTCAATGCTCCACATGTGCCAACTCAGGAATCCCAGCTGAACCTTTGGTGATCTCATTCCTTTCCCCACTCCCCTGTGCTCTCTCCCTCCTGCAGAAAAGGCAGCTTTGCAGTTAACCACCACAGTGGGATTCATCCAGCTTTTGGCTCAGCCTTGGGGCAGCTTTTCCTCCCTGTCCCTCAGTCCTTCATCCATCCACCCTCCTTTCCACTCTCCTTTCCACCCTCCATTCCACCCTCCTTTCCATCCTCCTTTCCATCCTCCTTTCCATCCTCCTTTCCATCCTCCTTTCCATCCTCCTTTCCACACTCCTTTCCACCCTCCTTTCCATCCTCCTTTCCACCCTCCTTTCCATCCTCCTTTCCACCCTCCATTCCACCCTCCTTTCCACCCTCCTTTCCACCCTCCTTTCCATCCTCCTTTCCACCCTCCTTTCCACCCTCCTTTCCACCCTCCTTTCCACCCTCCTTTCCATCCTCCTTTCCATCCTCCTTTCCACCCTCCTTTCCACCCTCCTTTCCACCCTCCTTTCCACCCTCCTTTCCACCCTGTCCCGCAGCCTGAGTCCCAAAACTGAGTTTTGTTTCCTCAGGACAAGGCTCCTTTCTCATGAACTGCCCACAGAGAATCCCCACTGTGCCTGGGGCACACGGGAATACCCAGAGCAGAAGAAAAGCCAAAAAGCATCAGATTTTAAAAATGACAAATGCTCTTTATTGGACCATACAGTATGGTAGGCGTGGAAGTGAAGAGGCGGTAGCCATGAGGACAAGGGATTAGGAATCAGTGTCAGGAATCATTCATACACACAGAAAGCAATAACCTTTCCCACAGGTGCCTGAGAAAACAGAAGGGGCTGGAAAAAATACCTTTAGTTGCAGACAAAACATTTGGAGGTTGTAACGTGGGTTGTGGACAGAGGCTTTCAGAGCATCTGAGAGCTGTTTGCATTGCTGGGGACCCAGGACTGAGGATTCACGAGGCTGTCGCTCTTGTTTTAGGATGAGTGAAAAGAAGTTGCGTAGCCAAATACGGTTGTCCCCATTCAGCAGAGTGCTTCCACTTTGCTTTAAATGTGACTCCAGAGGGAGAACAGGGGAAGAACAAGGACTGTGCTGAAAGAGGGCCACCATGGCTCCCCAAAGCCCTGTCGGTGACCAGTTACAACCTATGCCTTAGCCAAAGATGCTCCAGATTCTCGTGGTTGGGATTCTAGTCTCCCCCCCACTGCCCTGAAGGTGGAGGGATGAGGACGGAGGAAGGAGAGGGTCTAGCGTAGCTATTTACACCATCGATCCATAGGGCAGCACTTGCTTTCTGAAGGCAGGAAACATGTTGTCGTTGTCCGCGGAGGGGGTTCCTGTGCTCAGCATCCTTATCTGATGGTCTTTTTGCTAGTGGTGGTCTTGGAAACGATCCTCACGCTGCCTCCCGTGCTGGAGCTGACGCCTCGGCTGCTCCCGGAGCTGAAGGTGCTTCCCCCACCATAGCTGAGCCCCCCACCGAAGCCTCCGCTCCCTCCGAAGCCGCTGCTCATGCTGTAGCCTCCACCGCCGCCTCCCATACCGAGACCTCCTCCCATGCCCAGGCAGCTGCCGCCACCGTAGCCCATCCCGCTGGAGCTGCTGACCACGGCTGCAGGGAGACACAAAGTCAGGGTCCGGCCATCCCACCGGGAATGCTGCAGGACCCCATCATGGTGGCAGGGGTGATGGATGCTGCAGGACCCCACCATGGTGGCAGGGGTGATGGATGGTGCAGGACCCCCACCATGGTGGCAGGGGTGATGGATGGTGCAGGACCCCCACCATGGTGGCAGGAGGTGATGGATGGTGCAGGACCCCCGCCATGGTAGCAGGGGTGATGGATGGTGCAGGACCCCCACCATGGTGGCAGGAGGTGATGGATGGTGCAGGACCCCCACCATGGTGGCAGGGGTGATGGATGGTGCAGGACCCCCACCATGGTGGCAGGAGGTGATGGATGGTGCAGGACCACCCATCCAAGGTGGGGGATCCTGCACTATCCATCGCCCATATGGCAGGGGTGGAAGGAGGGGAGATACTTACAGACACTCACGGCTCCGACGCCCTCTCCGGCAAGCCTGTTGGGAAAGGGGAAAGTAAGCAATAAAGGCAAAATGCAGGCAAGAAGGTAGAACATTAGCCACTGGGACCATCTAGTCAGACTGTTGTGGCCTTCAGTGGAGACTGGTGGGGTATGTCTATGTCATGGGTGAAAGGTGGCAATGCTCATTTTTGTTACACCATCAGGTGCCAAGAGCTGGAGGAACGCTCCTTTTTGAAGCTCAGAGTTAAAACACCCTTCTCTCTGCCCTTGTTTTACACCTCCTGGTGCTCCAGCCCCTGGGGAGAGTTCTCTCTTTGAGCCCAAGGAGATGTGCCCTGATCTGAAAGAGCAGAGAGCAACAGCTCCATGCGTTTGCCCTCACCTGCTCTCCTCTCCCTCCAGCAGCTTCCTGTAGGTCGCGATCTCGATGTCCAGGGCCAGTTTGACGTTCATGAGCTCCTGATACTCACGGAGCTGCCGGGCCAGGTCTGCCTTGGCCTTCTGCAGAGCATCTTCCAGCTCAGACAGTTTGGCCTTAGCATCCTTGAGGGCCATCTCCCCGCGCTCCTCTGCCTCAGCAATGGCTGCTTGGAGGGTGGCACACTGAAAGCAAGGAAAACAGACAATTATTCGACTTGGGCTGTCCCAAAGTGCTCTCCTGAGTATAACTATGGTATTGTTGGTACTGGCTGGTGGCTCCCCAGATAGCAGTGAGAGCTCCTGATGGGCCATCAGGAAGGTGTCACAGAGTGGGTGACTGGATGACTGAAGCCATCATTGTGTCCCCCAGGAAAAGGAGAGGCATCTACAACTCTTTGCTTTGCTGGGGTAGCTTAGTAGATCACAGTTTGCTTCCCCAGCAAGAAAGTGGCTGTCGCAGCACATCCTTGCACTGAGGGACCTCCTCTGGTGGGCAGACACAGAGTTTGCCATGTCTTCTTTAATGCAGGGGGAAAGCCTGGCCTTCCAGCCCTGCTGCAGTACCAGGGGCTGGCTCTTTTCATGGTTCCTGGCCACCACCATCTCCTCCCACCGGCCCTGCATCGCTCAGCAGCTGCTCTGCAGGAGCATCCCCCCTCTCACCTGCTTCTTCACGCTCTCGATCTCATTCCGCAGCCTCTGGACCACTCGGTTGATCTCTGAGATTTCCATCTTGGTGTTGCGCAGGTCGTCGCCGTGTCGCCCAGCGGAGACCTGGAGCTCCTCGTACTGGTGTGCGGAAAGGAGAGTGCTGGTTAGGCACCTCGGGGCTTGGGAGGGTGAAGGGGCTTCAGAGTCCAGCTCTGGGTGAAGGTTAAGGGGCAGGGGGCACATTCCTTTGAGCAACCTGCCTATGGAATAACAGCATTTGCTCTTAATTGTTAATGTATATTAAGGCAGCTGTTGCATTGCATAGAGCACCTATGGGTTGCTACTAGTAAGAACCTGGAAGGGAAAGAGGAGTGCTCTGTGTTTATGTCCAGGTGTACCAGTGACTGTTTGTGAACCCAAGGTCAAGGTATTTAAGCATCTTGTCCCTTGGTTTCACCACGAGCATGTGAGAGCGGTCAAGGGTAGCAGCCCACAAGCACTCGGTGGGGATCTGTACGCAGGAGTCTATTGCAACATGCACAGAAAGATAAATTCATTCCTCCATCAGTCCTGCCTCCCACCAGTTAGTGTGGTGCCCCTTAAATCCCAGAAACCAGTCAGTCATTCATGTTCCCCACCTTGTTTTGGTACCAAGCCTCAGCCTCTGCCCGGCTCCGGTTGGCGATGTCCTCATACTGCGCTTTGACCTCTGCGATGATGCTGTTGAGGTCCAAGTTACGGTTGTTGTCCATGGACAGGACCACGGAGGTGTCAGACACTTGCTGCTGCATCTGGGACAATTCCTGCAGAAGATGCAAATAATGAAGTTAACGGTCTGGTGTCTGGGGTGGAAACCACACAGGTGACGGGAGCCCTCTCTGCCGAGCCATTTTCTTGCATTCCCCCTTGCTCTGCTCTCACCAGGTGCCCTTTTCTACCTTATACTTGCATTAGGATTTCAAAGAGGCAGTGACCACCTTCTCTTTTACTACTGTACAGCACTGGGCATGGTGGCCGGAGCACCGGGGCATGGAGAGCTGTACAGCAGGGAGCTGTGGAGGATGTTCCCGTGGGGAGGGCTGGCTGCTTACCGCTTCGTAGAGAGCTCTCAGGAAGTTGATTTCATCTGCCAGCTGATCTGCTTTGGCCTGCAGCTCGACCTTGTTCATATAAGCACCATCCACATCCTAAAGAAAAGGAAAGCAAAGATTTCTGGTGAAACCACAACCCAAAGGGGCTTCAGGATGCCAGTGGGACCATCGCTCTGCTTCCAGATCTGTTATTCTTTGGGCTTGTTTTTTATGTTGCTGTGATGAAGGTTTGGTTTGGGGATTATTTTTACTGTAATGTTGGACATTTACCGTGAGCCAGAACAAGGTTCTTGGGCAGAAGGCAAAGCTCTGACTCATGGGATGTGACCAGAGACCAAGCTGAATTGAGCCACAAGAGGCTGGGTGGTTTGCAACAGTGCAGCTCCATTGGCATAGAGAAGGTCATGCCCATCCTTGGCCATAGGAACACACAGCCCATCCTTCTAGACATGCCACCATCATATCCTGGCCCAGCTGTGAGGTTGTAGAGCCCCAGCTCCCACCAGCTTTGCATGAACTCTCTACATGCCCAGGGAATGTCACTGTCCATCCCATAGCTCCCATTTCACTCACCTTCTTGAGGACGACGAACTCGTTCTCTGCGCCCGTGCGTCGGTTGATCTCGTCTTCATATCTGTTAGGATAGAAGAGTGAGAGGGTTTGGGTGGGAATGAAGAGCAAAGCCAGCATGGGAAGCAGCAATGGGACCACTCCAGTCCCAAAGCATTAGCTGTAGCTCACAGACATATTCCTTACTCCCACCTCTTTGCAGTCCAAGGCAGATGCAAATGATTACTGACTTTGAACCTGCAAGACTCCATCATATGAATAGTCCCAGCTAAAATGAATAGATTCTAATCACTGCCCTTACAGTCAAGTTCATACATAAATGTGGGCAGATTCAGAGCCCATTTCGGTAGGAAGCAGGAGCAGGATTCTTGGTGACCTTTGCCGAAAGCAAAGTTGTGCAAAAGGCTTTCAACAAAGCTGCTTTGCAATGCCTACAAATATATAATAATGTAATGATTTGATATTTGATATTATAATAATGCTAATGGCTCTGAATAACCCGCTGCAGCATTTAATTAAAGAGAAAAGCCTCTGATTCTGTAGCCGTGGTTGTGCAAGAGCAGATCCTCAAGCCCCAGACTGTTTCTGTGGAACTTTTTATGGCTCTGAGCAACATCCTCTCATCAGATAATCAGGGCAGGGCAGCTAGAACGTAGACAAAACATGTAGGCTCTTGAGGCAAAGACCTGGATTTTAAAGGCAGGTTCATGCCAGTTCTTCTAGCGTTGGCAGAGATATCCCTGCAGACGGATCTCCAAGCGGACATGGGAAGAAGAGGAAATTAGCCAGAGAACTGGGAACAAACTCTGGGTCTGAAATCAAACGTGTTCTCTTTTCCAGGCAGTAGCTCCAAAATTGAGACAACTTCATTTGTTGTTTTTGGCCTGATCAATATTTCTAAAAACCTATGATACATCTGAAGACCTGAGGGGCACCGAGGTACAACATATTAGAAGCTATGTCAGTCCATCCTGTCAGCTCTAAATGTCCTCTCCTTGTATTCCCCCCCCCAAAAATCTGTCTCTTTATATGCTTAACTATCTAATACAAGCACATTCCAGGTCTCCAGGGTGTTTTTCTCTATTTGCACTTGGCCAGGTCTGGTTGAATAAGGGGGAGGTTGTTCTCACCAGACTGCAGCCAACTGAAGATGAGTGTCCTCACCTAAAAAAACCACCTAAATGTCCCTTGTAGTCAGCAGATGCCAACTGGCACATCCTTAAAATGAGTCATCCCACCTCTGCTGGGGTGATCATCCCTTATCTCAGGATGGGATTAATTTCCCTCCAGGGAAAATCATTTTCTTTGACAGTAGTCAGAGAAAAGAGCTGAGCATCTTTCACGTGATGAGTGCTGAGCATGCACAAGTTGCCTGGTGCCCTCTGGAAAGGCTGGAATTTCCTTTGGAAGAAGAGAAGTGGGGGGATTTTGGAGCTGACAGTTTATGGCTATGGTTCCTTCCCTTTTTGCGTGTCTATCATACTCATGAGGTATGCATTTTTCTGTCTCCAGGTCTATTATTTTGGGAGATTTCTGTTACACTGGAGCAGCTTCCCACGGGTGCATGAGTTCTGTGCTAAATGCTGCTCCTGCACCTAAGAAATCTGGCATAAGCAAAGGTAATTCTGAGACTAAGCTTTGCTTTGATATGTTCATTTTGCAAGCTGAAGAGGATCCCAGCACAAACCCGAAGGGCATCAGTGGGCATGAGCCGCCTGCCCTGATTTTCCTGTCTGTTAATCATTTATGCTACAGAGCATGATTTCTTACTTGTTCTTGAAGTCTTCCACCATGTCCTGCATGTTCCTCAGTTCAGTGTCCAACCGTCCCCTCTCTCCCATAAGACTGTCCAGCTGCCGTCTGAGGTTGTTGATGTAGGCTTCAAAAAGGGGATCGAGGGACTTCCTGGTGACTGTGTGACCTTGCTCTTGGAGCAGGCTCCACTTGGTCTCCAGCACTTTGTTCTGCTGCTCCAAGAAGCGCACCTAGGGAGAAACAGAAAACAGGCACATGTGTTTTAGCCTGGAATGCAACCATGGGAATGGTTCACAAAAGAGCCCTGCTGTCAGGATAAGGTGGGATCATTCAACATGGAAAGAAAAGGTCAAGAGATGCTGGGACAGTCAGGGGGAAGGTTTTAGGATCTTCCTAATTTAGGGCACTGGAGTCTCGAAAGTATCAGAAGATGTTTAGCTATGTTTCTCAAGAGCTATTAAGCAGTCCAGACACTTGCAACTTCAGGTGTTTTTACCCCCACTAGATGCTCAGCCCACCTTACTGGTTTAAACTGGTGTTATCCCATTGAGTTGTGTAGAGCTTTGCCATTTTGCAACCAGTAGAAGATCCATCCATCCATCCATCCATCCATCCATCCATCCATCCATCCATCCATCCATCCAACCCCTGGGATGTTCTTTACAGGGAGGAGGGGGTTTACTTTTTCAATAAATAAGGTGATGAAGAACTCATCCTTGCAAAGAGGAAAAACCTGAGACAGTTCTCAGTTTTCAGCCAAACCCACGCTGTTTCTTGGCTGGGATTAGTTCAGACAAGCCCCTAAATCCAAAGGAAGTTTCTTCCTGTTGCTTTTCCCCAAGGCAACTGATAACACGATGATGTTTAAGACCAAACTCTCACCTTGTCGATGAAGGAGGCAAATTTGTTGTTGAGGGTCTTGATCTGCTCCCGCTCCTGCGTTCGCACCTTCTGGATTTCTGGGTCAATATCCAGCTTGAGGGGTGCGAGGAGGCTCTGGTTGACAGTCACTTCATGGATGCCACCAGGTGGGCAAACAGGGAACCCGGGGCCACCTCGACCACCAAATCCGGGACCTCCCATCCCAAATCCACTGCCCAGCCCATAGCCTCCACCACCTCCTAAGCCAAAACCAGCTCCTGCTCCACCACCATAGCCAAGACCAAAGCCAGATCCTCCACCAAAGCAGTATCCACCACTGGCTCCACTCCGTAGACCTCCGACTGAGCTGTAGGAAATTCTCTTGCTTCCACCTAGGTTATAGAGACTTCTGCTGCCGAAGCCACCACCAGCTCCGAAGCCTCCTCCACCTCCGGCTCTTCCTCCTCCAACTCTGGAGACAGAGACGGAGCTAAAACTGCTTCTGGTACCACTGCCACCTCCTACGATAGCAGAGCCTGAGCTAAAGCCCCTCATGCCCCCTCCAGTAGATGATCTGAAAGAGATCCGACTCATGGTGTCTTGTTCGATTGGAAATGCAAAGAAGAGGAGAAGGAGGAAAAAAAAGGGCTGGGAAATAAAAGCTGCGCAGCAGGAAGAGAGCAGAGGGCGATGGAGACAGAAACCCCTGTGATGGGAGAGCTTGGGAGCCTCCTCTTTTATCTGCTTGGAAAACTTGGCACGGGAGTTCAGAACTTGACGTGCCTTGCAGCGACTTGCCTTGTCAAACACACCTTGGCTATGGGGAGGCGCTGAAAAATGCATTGTTTGCAGGCAAGAAAGTAACGGAGTGAGGGAGCTCCCCCCTCCACTAAAGCCTGCCGCTCTGAGTCATGGAATTAGAATTGAATGGGACGACTTGGTCTGTGCTCAGGGGCAGGATCCAACACGATTCTCCCAAGACCCTGGGAGCCAGTTTTCCTTAGGTGAGCCAAGCGCTCACTCGCTTGAGTAAGGTTTCTTGCACTGAAGCTTTTTCAAGGAGAAGTTTAGGGTTTAAAGCATTGCACAGCAAACAGGGCAGCAGAAACAGGGGCTTTTCCAAGGCTGCCAGCTCTGGGACTCGGCATGCGTGTCCTGTTGTTGGCTTTGGAAAGCTGGGGGTGACGGTGGCTTTACTTAACAGCGCAGCTCTCATGGTTTCTTTTGGGAAAGGGATCTAAATGATCACGGGCTGGAAGTGAAGGGCTGAGTGGAAGCTTTTCGTGGCACGATTTTCTGGGATCTTTCTCTCCTCATTGCAGGAAAACTGAGAAATCGGTTACCAGGACTTTCAGGGACAGGAAATAAATCCCTGTCCAAAAATAGCTACAAATTAGATTAAATAACACGACGAGACTTATAAAATTGTTATTAAAAAGATGTTTGAAATGATTGCTCTCCCTTTGAAACTCCTTGTCGGGCTCAAGGTTCAAAAGCTTCCTGTGAAGTGGTTTTCTTATCACTTCTTTCCCCCCCACACCCTGTATTAAGCAGCAGTTTCCACGTCATTGCTGGCTCTCCAAGATGTTCTGTAAAGGGGAATTCACCCTCTTTTCTTCCAGCTCCCTCCCACTCCCTTCTTCCCTCTGCTGAGATCATTCAGGTGGAAAATTTTCCTGAAATAGCCTTTGCCTCTTGATGTTGGGCTCTTGGGTTGAACCCTCACCCAGGAGCTTCAATCCCCATGATGAGGCTGGGCCGTGCTTTAGGATGGTGTAAAGGCAGGAGAGCGGGGAACCTCTTCTCTTGTGCCCATGAAGAGCTGGACACAGGTTACAAGAGAAGATATCCGCTCCTTCCCACCTGAAATAACTTCTGCAAACTGGATTCTCCCCAGCCACATCCTTGTGCCGCTGGGACGGACCGCCTTGGTCAAGCTCAGGGTCAGGTACAACAACAGTGCAGGGCAGAGACATGGAACCCCAAGCATCTGAATCAAAAAGGTTCTTGAAACTGTCTACGTGAGCAATAAGTACAGGAGCTTGATCCAAAACGAGCGGCTTAAGGGTATCTGCTGCAGCTCATAGCTTGTTTCTGTTGACGTGTTTCCAACCGCCTTTTTCTCTGTCTGGGAACTTGAAAGAACCGGAGCAGAAGGGGGTTTTTGTTTTGTTTTATGGTGTGTGTGTTTCCCTCCTCACTGCAATCAGGAGAGCTTCACAATGCTCACCTCCTGCAAGCCCTCCTATCGCTGAGCGTGAGTCACCGGCACCCGCAGGGCTTGGGGCGAGCTATCGGGAAGCCGATCCTTGGAGGTGCTTGGAGCGGGTGTTGCAAGGCAGCTTCCCACTGAAAGGGAGGTGGCCGGGCGGTAGCAAGGGGGTGCTCTCACCTCGGGAGTGGAGATGCGGGAGCCTCCATGGTGCTGGAAAAGCAGTTTCACTGGGAGAATTGCACCCACACATCCAGAAGCAAGGAGCCCCCCCGTCTCACAAGTGATGCACGGCAGCAGGTAACCCCGATAATAACACCGCTGGGGTTACGCTGGTATTGAAAACAAATAAACTCTGTTTATTTGGCAGATGTGTGGAGATTTGCTTCCCTAATCCTGCAGATGTGAATTGGCACATGTGTGCTGCATCTTGTGGACGGGGGCCAGGCAGAGAGCCTGCCTTTGACTTCCAAAGAGCTATGCAAAGTCACACCTGGGAACCAGCGCACAGGCTGCAAGGGTTTTAATTAAAGCAAAGAGAAAGGCTTCGTGTTGAAGGCAGTCATTACCTCCCCAGCTCTTCTAGGAAAGCCTGTTGCTGCAGACAATGGTAATTAAGTGGAATATTACAAAGAAGTTGGAAGAGTAAAGCAAATGATGGTTTAGGCACCAAAACAAGGAAAATGCTTGCAGAATCTCTCAGTCCCCCCCCCAGTTTCTTTGCTGGGCTTGTGTTGCTTATGCAGTGTCCTGGTGTAGCTGCTCAGGGCTGCAGGTGGGCTGTGTTTGCTCCCTCAGACAGGAAGGTTTCCTGCAGGATGTCATAGACTCCCAGACTGGTTTGTTTTGGAAAGGACCTTAAAGCTCATCCAGCTCCAACCCCTGCCATAGGCAGGGACACCTTGCACTAGAGCAGCTTGCTCCAAGCCCCTCCAACGTGGTCTTGAGCACTGCCAGGGATGGGGCAGCCACAGATTCTCTGGGCACCCTGTGCCAGCGCCTCAGCACCCTCACAGGGAAGAGCTTCTTCTCCATCCTAAACCTCCCCTCTTTAAGTTTAAACCCATCACCCCTTGTCCTCATGATGTCCATTGCTACAGTCCCTGATGGAGGGTCCCTGTGTCAATCACAGAGCCAGGATTTGCTGCACAGGGGTTGCCTGGAGGGCGAGGGCACTGCTGGGGTGGAAGGTGGGCTTGGGATGTGGAGCATGGGGAGGAGGAACGGACCCAGCTGAGATGTTTGCAGCAGCTCTGCTGCCTGTGAGCACCACTGTTGGGCTCTGCTATATGGGCTTTTTCCAGCTCAGGGTGGAATAAAGACATTCAAAACTGTTAAGGTTAGTTAAGGTTAGGTTGTCATTAGCTGCATTAAGTCCTTACACCCGTGCTGTGTCATTCAGTGCTTGAACTGAAATCGAGGTGACTCAAAGTTTGTTTTTAGCCTTCGCTGGTTTTTGTCCTGTCTGCAGCATCCTCTGCAACAGCAGGGACTGAGGAGCTGGGTTTTGTCCCCACACTTGGGTCTTTCTTACTGTGGCTCCTTGGATTCTCTGGGAGAAGGGAGCTTGGATGCTCCCGTGTTTTGGTGCATCCGGGTTTCAGTGAGGTTTTGCTGCAGCTGTTGTGAGCGTCTCCTCTGAACCTGCCGGGGCTTGCTTGCTCTTCCCCATTTGCTGTGCTGAGTTATGTACAGCCAGGATATGAAGAGGTCAGGGCAGAGCAAAGCCTCTGACTCTTTGAAATGCAATAATGTGTGAGTGGTTGTCTGAGTTGGGTTTCTTTCCCCCTTTTCTCTTCTTTATTCTCCTTTTGCAATGATGGGCTGGCTGAAATACCGGCATTGCTTGGCGAGTTGCTCTGCTCCAGCTCACCAAAACCCATCCTCAATCTAGATCATCCTGATAAATGAGGATTTATCATTTATGCTCTTGGGTTTGCTACATCATTGTAAGAAAGCAGATATTAAATACTTGGGGTTTGCTCATGCTGGCAGGGGGACCCTCTCTTCCATGGAAGAAAAGCTTTTGGATTAACCCCAATCCTATGTTAAGAAATGAATGGTGATTCATTTTTCTGTCACTTAATGGATAACCCCCCCCCCCTTTTCTCTGATTCTTCAATTTAATTTCAAGATTTTCATTATTATTTTATCAAAATTTTGAAACTTTTCCCCTGAAGTGAAGCAAAAATCCCCTTCAGTTGAAGGCTGGGAGCATTTCATGCTACTGGTTCTGGTTCAGACTAAAAAAGATGTAGGGACACATAAATTACAATCCAGTTTTATTGGACACATTCCAGAAAGAGAGAGGAAGGAAAACACAGCGTTGTATCGCTACCATTGGGATATAAAAAGCTGCAATTTTCTTTGTAATGGTACTTCCACACAAATAAAAAGACATGCTGGAAGGCGAGAGGGGTAAACACCATCAGAAAGGGGAAATGCCATCAGTTTGAGGCACTGGTGTGCTCCTGCTCCCAGTTGCCTCATTTGCCATGTAATGGGCTGAAACCTGGCTGCACTTTTCAGTTTACCAAATGTCTTCCTTGTAGCAGAGAAGCCCACACTTGGTGGAGGTGCTCAAATGCCCCTTGGAGCAGTGTGGACATGGGCCTTTGGGTGGATTTTCAGTGTAATTTTCACTGTCTCAGGCTTTCACCTTAACTGCTGCTACCAGGACAGTGGGGAGCTCAGCAAGACTTAGGCTGTTGGATGATTCTGGCATTTTTTAAGCCTTTCCAACAATACCCTCAGGACAGCAGCTCAATTTAACTGCAAACACAGATCTGGCTTTTGGAGAACTCCCTGCCTCAGTTATTACTTAGAATGAAGGAATCCTATCATTTAGGAAACAAGCCCTTTTCCATACATTGTGGATCAGTCAATGGTGGCTCCTCTGACCGAGATCATGTGTAAGGTGCCACTAAGGGCAAACTTTCACTTAAGAAAAAGGACCGGAATGGGAGAGTAGTTGGGGCTTCCTTTTGCACAAGCTCATTGCAAGTTAAATCCACATTCCTGCGGGTGGTGCTTTTTAGATGGAGGTATCTCAGCTTGCTCTGAACCACTGGCTGGGCTCTTGTGCTTGACTTCAGAGAGCTGCAACGCTCAGCACATCTGGAAGAAACATGTTTTTCGAAGCTCATCTGGGAGTGGGGAAAAGAGGGGTTTTCCATCGCACTCGGCTGACTCAGAAGTGGCTCCTAAAGGGCTCTGTGCTCCCACAATAAGGGATGTTTTAAGAAGGGCCCCACGCTTGCAAGCCACTGCCTGGGATCTTTCAGTAACCTCCTGGGGTATTTCTACATAGCAGAAAAATAACCCACGTCTCTGATGAAGATGAGTTGCTTAACTTGAAGGACTGAGTTTGGTTCATCCCAGCAGTGAAGGCAAAGCAGGCTGAACTGAAGCCAAGTTCCCAGCCCATCCCTGGGCTTCTGTGGGCCAGAACTGAGCTAAAACCCCAACTTACTGCATCTTCGCTGCTATTTGATCTGTCTTAGCTGATGGCTGTCAGCTAGCCACAATGACAAACAAGCTGCTCAGCCTTATTAAAAGCAAACAAACAAGCAAAGAAGAACCCCAATTCCCCATTCAGAAGATCACTTAGGCCCGTGGTTTCCTTTTAATCCTGTTTCAGGTGCTTTGAGACATCTGGTTCATGTGTATGGTGCTGCTTTTCCTCAACTGTGATCCAAATGCAGAAGAGCTACGGTGCAAGGAGCCGGGACAGGGTTGTGTGGAGGGGTGGTGGTGGTCAGGAGTGATACAGGAGTAATGCAGGAGCGATGTGGGAGTCATGCCTTTGGGGAGGGTCTGGAGCTGGTTTTACTCGGGCTCTGTAGCATTCTTCAGGCTTTGACTTTTTATGCTCTTTTTGCTGGAGGAGGTTTTAGAGACGATTTTCACTCCTGGGTTGGAGCCTTTTGCACTTCCAGAACTGAAATTCCCTCCGCTGGTGCTCAGAGTGCTGCCACCACCTCCTCCATAGCCAAGACCACTTGCAATGCTGAGACCACTGCCTCCTCCGAATCCACCTCCGAGGCCACCACCACCCCCAAGTCCAAGTCCTCCTCCGCTTCCAAAGCCGTAGCCTCCACCACCACCTCCTCCAAGGCCAAAACCGCTTCCACCACCTCCTCCAAGACCAAAACCGCTTCCACCTCCTCCTCCACTTAGGCTCAGTCCACCAAATCCTCCTCCTAACCCAGCTCCACCAACCATGCCAGAGTTGGAGCTGATGACGGCTGCAAGAAAAAGCAATGAGAGGGTTGGACATGTGTTTGGCAGACACCCAGTTCCGCAAAACACCATCCTCAGGACCTCAACCCACAGGACTTGAACCCAACTTATCTCTTCTCTGCAAGACACTAATGCTGGTTGGAGGGCTCTGGATGTGTTATATTGGGCAAAACCTCCCCATTCCCAAGGTTGCTCACAGTCTCTGCTCCCAGTGGGCCCAAAGCAAGATAAGCACTGCGATACTTACAGTAGCTGATGGGGTTGAGTCCTTCTCCACTCAGCCTGTTGGGAGCAGATAGAGGGGAGGTAAGAGTAAAGTAAAGGAGACAGGCAGGGGCAAAGCAACCATCACTATTACTCCTGCAGGAATCTTGTTCTTACCTGCTCTCCTCTCCCTCCAGCAGCTTCCTGTAAGTTGCAATCTCGATGTCCAGGGCTAGCTTGACGTTCATGAGCTCCTGGTACTCACGGAGCTGCCGGGCCATGTCAGCTTTAGCTTTCTGCAGAGCATCTTCCAGGTCAATCATCTTTGCCTTGGCATCTTTGAGGGCCAGCTCCCCACGCTCCTCAGAGTCTCCAATTGCTGTCTGCAGGGTGGCACACTGCAAGAGAAGGGATTGGGACTCCTAAACGCTGCTTTTCTTTTTGGATAAGGAAACAAAACCATTCTGGATGGGTTTTAGTGAGAAAAGTGATGACTGAGGTCATTCACCCATAGCTAACATTACTGGAGTTGAAATGCCAGCCTGGCAAGGAAGATTGAATAGATGTCATAGCATGGTACCCTTTCCAGGAGAGAATTCAACATGTTTAATGAGATACATCTTACTAAAGGTCCTGATCAGCAAAGCAGAGCTGTGGTGCTAAGGGACCAGAGGATGGGGCTCCACAAGCTCCATTTGTCATTCCTACCTGGTTCCTCGTGTTCTCTATCTCTGACCGGATCCTCTGGATCAGCCGGTTGAGCTCAGAGATTTCCCCCTTTGTGTTGCGCAGGTCATCCCCATGCTTCCCAGCCGTGGCCTGCAGCTCCTCGAACTGAGGTGCAGAGGGAAGAGTAAACCACTTGGACAAGATATGGCCCAAAGAGGCAAGGGACAGCAGCGGTGTTCCCCAGAAATGCATCCGTGGCATCTGTGGGTCTGTTCACCTTGGTTTGGTACCAAGCCTCCGCCTCGGCACGGCTCCGGTTAGCAATGTCTTCATACTGAGCTTTGACTTCAGCTATGATGCTGCTGAGGTCCAGGTCCCGGTTGTTGTCCATTGACAGGATGACGGCGGTGTCGGACACTTGTGCACTGAGCTGAGCCAGCTCCTGCAAGGAAGCACACGGGATTCCCGGCACTTACCTTTGCCATTGCCATGAATGGTGGCAGTCACTGTCCAAGGGTGACAACAGGACAGAAATCAGGGGAGGAGGGTATCTGTACCGCATCATAGAGGGCTCGAAGGAAACTGAGTTCATCGTTCAGAGCATCCACCTTGGCCTCCAGCTCCACCTTATTCATATAAGCAGCATCCACATCCTGGAAAAGAGCAGCCATGGGGACATCTGCAGAACCTGGTACCTCTTCTGTAGCTCAGCCAAAAAACGGCCAAGCCAGGAGAGGAGGCCTGGTCTTCCACCACTGCACTGCTGCTGCCAGCCAAGCTCTACTTGGCACATCCCCCTGGCAAAGCACCCAGAGGACATCTCTTGGCCAAAAGAAGCTCTGCGTGTAATGTTGTGAGTGGATCAGGTAGGGGATGCAGCCCTTTGGTTTCGGTACCCACACTAGTGACCATCTTTGTTTTGCGTGATCTATTTTGCCCAGGCAGCCGTGTGTGTATGTTGTGGGGCAGGAGTGGGACAAGAATTTACTTCCATCCTCCTAGCCCCTCCATTCCTTTCTCCCCAAAACCACAATCCAAATGACAGCTTTTAAAGGATGAGGATGCAGCTCCATGAGATCTCCCATCCTTTAGGACATTCCCAGACTGTGCAACGGTTAAGGTTAGATCAGCATCCCTAACACCTCCTGTCTCACCCACCTTCTTCAGCACCACAAATTCATTCTCCGCTGCTGTGCGTCGGTTGATTTCCTCTTCATACCTGCAGGGATAAAGGGAAAGACGTGATGGATCATACCTTGGCAAACAGAAAAGTTGTACAGGTCGGATGGAGAGTTGTCTGGGCTGGGAATGGTGATCCAAATCAACCTCCTGGAAACCGCCCTGCTCAAATTCACTAGAATCCGATTTCTCCAAGGGTTGAAAAGACATTTTGACATAATGCAGATGGAACAAGGAGGGTAAAGCTGGTTTAGATGATTTTCCTTTACAAGTGTCATCACATGTTGTTGTGTTCTTGCTGAGTCTTCCAATTGGAAAAATGTTGATGGACAGACAACCTTTCTGCTGCTCTTAAGGAAGGCAACATGGGTTCTGCAGGGAGAGAGACCTCACAGGAGTGGTATTCAGAGGGGGATTAGTTAGGTACTGTGTTATGGGCTAGAGCACAGACTGGAGATCCTTTTTTCCCCCTTTCCTATAGAAAGTTTGATGAATCTCTCAGGCTGATGTTTGACCTTTCAGAAAGCAAAATTTAAGCGAATTAATCCTACTGCCTAATGCTCAGCTGAGCCATTTGCATCCCATTTCACCCCAGCGTGCCTGGATGTGCTGCTAACAGGCACTCACTTGTTCTTGAAATCCTCCACGAGGTCTTGCATGTTCTTCAGCTCCCCATCCATGCGTCCTCTCTCGTTGAGCAGGGTGGCCAGCTGCCGTTTCAGGTTGTTGATGTAAGCCTCAAAGAGTGGGTCCAGGCTGCTTTTGCCTGAGCTGTTTTTTTGACCCTGGTCCTGCAGGAGGGTCCACTTGGTCTCAAGCACCTTGTTCTGCTGCTCCAGGAAGCGAACCTGAGCATTGGGAAGAAGAAGAGGCTTAGCAGAGGATACCTGTGAGCATGCTGATGGCCAGGAATCAGTAACTGGGACTGATGCATGGCAACACCCAAGGCAATCCCACACTAAGAGTGTTAAATCCAGCTATGAATATCCTCTAGATTATCTGGGGCTGTCTTAGCCCACCCAGTAGTTAAGCAAATTTTAGGGTTAGGGTTAGGATTAGGACTAGGGTTAAAAAGTTATGGTTAAAGTTATGGTTAGGGTTGGGATTCAGACTGAGTGGCCAGTTCTCTTTAGAGACAATTTAATTTGGCAAGCCAATGAGCAGTCATTAGAAAATGTGGGTTCAGCTCTTTCAGCACTTGCTTTCTTCAACATCCTTTGTTTTTTTTTCTGTCTTTGTAAGAGATATTCATCTTCCTTCATTAAAGCTAAGATCTGAGTACTACAGGTTAAAAGACAAGTACGTAATTGCCTTTCCTTTTGCTCATATATAGTACATATTTACAGGAGTCAAAGCCAAGGAAGGACTTAAGTTGAATCAATTTAAAAAGGACTTTAGCTTGCAGGCAATAAAGCAATAAGGACTAAGACATCTGCTGCGATTCTCCACAGAGGGAGCTGGGTTAAGCAGCTAGATCTGGACCTGAAACTGGCTTGTTCCATTTGGCCAAATATATCTTATTTTTCAGGCAAAAACCCTGGATCTCATCCTCTTCTTACTAGTTTCTGGTCTAGTTTTCTGCCCTGTAACTGTTCAGAAGAACGTTCTTTTTGAGTGCTTTAATGAAGACCTGCAGAATAGGAAACATGCAGCAGACTGTAGATCTGTGAAGTTGTACTTTGGCAGCTACAAGGCTGTCTCTCTCCCTCTCTATCACATTCCACAGCACTTGATGAAGTCTCACCTTGTCGATGAAAGAAGCGAACTTGTTGTTGAGGGTCTTGATTTGCTCCCTCTCATCTTTTCGCACCTGGTGGATGTTTGGGTCTATCTCCAGGTTCAGTGGCGCCAGGAGGTTCTGGTTGACAGTCACTTCTTGGATTGTACCAATTCCAGGTGGGCCACCACCAAATCCCATTGGGTTCCTGCCACCACCCAGCCCTCCACTGAACCCTCCCAGACCCCCTACTCCACCAAAGCCAAACCCTCCACCACCTCCGGGTCCACCACCAAAGCCAAGCCCGGCAGCACCTCCACCAAAGCCATATCCACCACCTCCACCACCGAGACCAAGCCCAAGACTGCCGCCAGCTCCACCACCACCAAGTCCACAGCCACCACCACCTCCCAGGCCAGAGCCACCCCCAGCTCCACTCCCGAAGGCAGCTCGGAAGCTGCTTCCAACACCAATGGATATTCTCTTGCTACCACCAAGGTTGTAGAGGCTTCTGCTGCCAAACCCACCACCACCACCACCGCCGCCACCTCCTCCAATGAGCCTTCCAAAACCACCTCCACCTCCTCCAGATCGTGCCACAGACATGGAGCTAAAGCCAGCCCTGTTGCTGCTTGGAATAATAGCTGAGGCAGTGCTGTAAGATCTGCCTCCACCTCCAGCTCTCATGCTGTAAGTTTGCCGATTCATGGCAGCAGGAGATAACACTGGCAGTGCTGAGAAGCAGCAGAGAATGCAGCTCTCGGATGGGAGGGTGTGCAGGATGTCCCTTTTATCCCTGTGGGGATCTGGGCTTGGTTGCATGGAAGTCCAGTGATCAATTTGGTGCCTTCATGGTTTTGACGTGCCAGGCAGCCAGCTGTCTCCATGAGACTTGTTAAACCCTGATTGCACTCAAACACACCTCTTGGAGCTGCTGTGAATCTGCTCAGCTAGAAGAGTTAGATAACTCCCTGAGTTCTGGCAGCGAGAGCTCCTGCTCCCTTAGTGCAAACCCTCTGTACGCTTACAGAGGTGGATTATTTCATTTCCTAACTGCAAAACAAGATAGGGAAAATAAAGAAAGGGTGAAAAGAGCAAAATAGCTACATGGGATACTCCTGTGCTGCTTATAAGATGCAGTAAATCAGTAGAGAGCTTAGTGGAGAGTCCTCTGAAGTAACTCAAGTGAAAGGCAGTGGCAATAAAATGGCTAAATCTGAACAAAAATATTTCACAGTGCCTTCACAGAGCGTAGGAGTGATGCTCATGAAGCCTGACACCTCTTTCAGGGCTCTAATTTATCCAGTTTGCCCATTCACACCATCATGCAGAGGCCTTCGTTTTGAGCTGGCTAGTACAAAGAGGTCCTGATGCATGATTTTTTGCTGAGACACTCTATTTAAATGTCACCTCAAATTTTGTCCATTTAGGTTTTAGTCTATGGCAGGTTTCCTAGGCTTCCTTTCTGGAGGTGTTGGCATCTCTAAAGGACAGCTCCATCCCACCCAGAGGCTGCCATTGCAGAGCCTCCAGCCATCTGATGATGTGGTCGACATGTTTTCATCTTGGTCTAAAAAGCATTTCCACCAAGGAGACAGATTTTCTGAGAAACACTCTGCCCAGCTTTGTGGCACACTATTATTTGCATGTCAACGCGAAGATGTAATCAGTCTCGAGTTTCTAGCTCTTTTACAGCTGTGATTTCTTTTACAGACCTTTGAACATTTCTGTTCAAAATGTTGCCAAAAGCAAAGATTTAACCAGCATGAAAAACACTCCCACAAATTCTCCTTGTTTTACTTCCTGGAATCCTTGGGAAAAAGAACAAAATCAGTGGGGGGTGATGAAATTTTCTACCATCTCAGACTTGGTGGAAATGCAATGTTTTGAGTGTTTTATTAGTTGTATGTAAGAGCACAGTTTTCAACATGTTGCTGTCCTGGTGGCATTGCCCATGCTGTCTGCATGACTGGAGCTTAAATCTATTTACAGGATAGGTCTCTACATGCCCTTCAAAATGCATTCATGTGCCCCAGTGCTAAAAAACCATTAAGTATGAGCTCAAATCCCACTGGCATCTCTGGAAGAAAGATTAAGCAGGTGCTTCATGTTCTACCTAATGCAGAACACAAAATATCTGATTATCCTTGGAGAAATGCTGCCAGGCAGGCTTGAACTGGGAGAGCTGGGTCACTCAGATAGAATATCCCATTGCAGTGTGAAATTCCCAGTTGGTGCAGGTTGGCTTGGTTTTCTTTGGGGAGTGTTGGTCTGAATCTGCCTGGGATGTCACTTGAAATTCATGAGCATCTCTTGCCTTGATTATTTGCATGAAATTCAAAGCCCGGGTGCGATGGGAAAATGAAATTGCCTTCATGCTTTCTTGACCCCAGTAAAGGCAGATTGTCCTGAAGCTGACAAACGGGTTCGGATCAGATGTCAGAGCTGAATGAATGTAATGGGATTAAAGGTGGGGCTGCCAACAAGAAAGAGGGAATTGTCATTTTAGGCTCCCACACTCTTCTTCCTTCAGCCCACTGTCCACCAGGTATGTGAGCAATGCAAAAGCTGGGTGGAAAATGCATCTCTCCTTTCCCAGGCTGGTTTATCATGTGGAGGAGCTGAGGTTTGTGGGCTCCATATTCCAGAGGTAAATGTGGCTTCTTGCATCTGTTAGTTGGGATCAGCTCTACCAGATTCTGTTGATCTATGAAGGGTCGTGTCCAGAGCAACTCTGAGCAGGATCTGGCCTCCAAACTGCGCCAAAATACAAGCTCCTGACCTTTTTAATCTCCAAAAAGGCCTGATGTACCTGAGCATCCTCAAGCAGGCAGCAGAAAACATGGGTTGAGAAGGGCAGGCATGATTAAAGGTTTTCTCCCAGAAATGCAAGAGCTGCTGGGCTGCTTTGGTACCCTGGGGAGCTGGCTGGTTTTGGTGTGCAGGTCTGTTCTGCAGGGATGTGATCAGCATAAATTATGAGCTGTTGGGGCACTGGAAGCTTCTTGTTTGGGTGTTTCTGCTTGATATTTACATACAAATGAGATGATGTCCGAGTCACATTGGGAGAGAAAGGATGAAGATAACCATTTCGAGCAACGTTCGCTTGAGGTGGGTGGGTTTTGTCTTCTCAGCTGATTCATTTGGCTTTCACCACCACCCCGAGCCCAGACAGTGTGGCCAAGGAATGTCATTTATTAAAAATCAATTAGTGATCTACTACCTGCTGTTCACCATCATCCTGCTTTCCATTAGAAGAGCACTGCAGACATGGGGAGCCTGAATCCACCCTGCTCAGCGCAGCCTCTGTGCTGGGAGAGAAGCAGAAGCAGATGCTCATCACCATCCTGTTGGCATGGACAGACTGAGCCTGGCTGCGTGGTTCAAGTCATCCTCCAGCCATGGAGATGTTGGGGCAGGCAAGGCCATGAGTCAGCAGTGAAGCCCAGGAAGCGGAGTGAGATGTTGGGGAATAAATTACAACACCCGGTCCTCGGTGTAGCTTTCATGGGCTGAATTAACCTGCCCACACCCTGCGCTGGTTCCAGACTGGGTGAGGAGAGACAGATTTCTCCAAAGGGAATTTCAGAGCAGCGTTGTCTTTTGGCTGCACCCAGGCAAGCCATGGGAAGAAAGGAGCCAGCAGGGCTGGCTGGTTTTCGTTAGCAGCCATCTGTGCATCCAGCTGCGATGGGTACCACCTTGGCAAACCCTTCCAGCCATGTTATAGAGACCTTTCAGGAAAGGTCTGGGCGCCCTCACAGGGAAAGGACAACCTGATCTCACCCAAATCCCAGTGTCCTAAAGTGAGTTTTCCCCTCCCTGCAAGGAATGATGGAGGAGGACATCCAAGCATGTCCTACAGGCTCTGCTCTTTGTCTAAGTCCTTGTGCTGTAGGGAAGATGGGGCATTTTGGACACTGCACTTTTCTCTTGCTCTTGTTTTGGGGTTTCAGGGTTGGGATGTGGGATTCTTTTCTCTTTGTTACTACCAGGGCTGGTTCTCACTGATTTCTTTTAACAAAGTCCTGTCTGCTTTTCTGTTCTGCCTGCAGAGATCCCAGACAAGTGTGAGAGATCCCAAGTGAGCTGCGCATCCCACGAGCAGTTAAACATCCCAGTTTACACTGCATTTCCAGACTTCCTTCTGGCCACACTGGTCTCTGGATGGAAGAAAGGTATGCAAAAGTGCAGGAGAGGAAGGAGAGCAGACAAAGTCTCAAAAAATGACTTCTTAAAACTCCACTTCTTGTGGGCCACCAACCCCACCCGTATGGAGAATCATGTCTGAGAACATATCCATGCTTTTGTAATATCAGGGAGGGAAAGAAAACCCATGAAGCAAAGCATGAATTATGCATGTAGTTTATTGAAGGTACAGCTGAAAGTCTGGAGTAAGCGAAGGGTAATCAACTCTGTTCACTTACACATGAAAAGCATTAAATGGGTCTATCTGGTACACACACAGGAAAAACAACGCATGCATTTTACTACAGAAACATAAGGTGCTCGTCGGTGTGTAATTAAAATCCACTCTACCAAACCTGGTGTAGCAACTTGGACCAATTTACATAAGCATTACCAACCCTCTCGTAAACAGGAAAAATTGGATTTTCTAGTGTCATTAAAGTTAAGTAATAGCTGCAGCTCCATTGCAGACAATTAAAATGTGGCTTCTCTTTCTGAAGTTGGGATGACCAAAGTTGTCATCCTTTTGCAAGAGCTGCATTGCGGAAGGGATGGGGGGGGGAATCCTTGCTGGAAAGCGGTCCAGCAGGGAGGACTGATTTAGGGTGATGTGTGACTCCCTGAAATGAAAACCTCACCTGGCTGAGACCATGGGGATGAGTTTTCCCCCCGAGAAGGAGATGCAAGAGAAGGTGGGTTTTGATCATGCAAAGGGTTTTTGGCAGAGCGCCTATCCTAATGGTGTGTGCACGGGCAGCGCATGGTTGTGTGATCCCTACAGCTGTCAGGAGGAAGGGGAATACTGTCTTATCGCAGAAATGCTGACTAATTTAAAACACAATGTGTAGTTACCCTCCGGCCTCTACCGGGTTGTTCTGACCACACGCATGGCTGTGCTGTACCTGTTCCCGGCGCCGCACACCCCTGCCCCTGGAATGATGACGGCTCCCGGGCTGCACTGCTCCACGCTGGTGCACACCACGTTCCCCAGGTTGCCCATGCCGGTGGCACACTGCACCCCTTCAGCACCGGGGATCACCTCTCGCCCCACGCAGCTGACCACGCTCCTGGCCCCAAAGCCAGCCCCTACCCTGGGCAGACAATCCACGCTCCGGGTGCTAAAGCCGGCACCGGTGACGCCGAACGAGGAGACCACCCCTAACCCCGGCCCGGCCCCCCCTGTCTTCACAGTGCATTTGCCTCCGATTCCAGATAGGGATCGACACTCGCCGACGGTGCCACCACCGCTGACCACGGCTGCAGGAGAGAAACAGGCTTGGTCGATCCCTGAGCGGCTAAAACCCAGCTATAGGGAAACTCACAAGCTTAAAAGACTTGTAAGGGAATCAAGGGAGTGCTTCATTAGCTTACCTACGCTCACAGGGTTGCCGGTGCATATCCTGTTAAGAAAAGATATGTCTCAAAGGTGTGTTTAGGGAAATATTCCTCAAATACACAAGCAAATAGAGGTGCTGCCCAGCCATCGATTCCTTAGAAACCCTGCAGGTACTTCAGGCTGGATGTGGTTCTGGACAGCCTGGTCTAGGTGAAGATGTCCCTGCTCATCACAGCGGGGTTGGACTAGATGAGCTTTGAAGGTCCCTTCTGACACAAACCATTCTGTGGTTCTATGATTCAGCTTTTCTATGCACCTGGGTGTGAGGTGCTGGGCCAATTGCCCACCAAATCACTGAAGGGTTGGATGCCCAAATCCCATAGAGATCTTAATATCCCATCCCCTTTTTGTGCCACAAGAAAGGCCTCTGACAGCAGCGTGCTTGATGAACCGTGATAGAGCTGCCCTGGGAGCATGAAGAGGAAACAGGGGCAATGCTTTGCTCTACACCTATGGGGAGAAAAAGGGATGAAGCTCTCCTCTGTGCACTCATGGGGAGCTGACTCTACCCAGCATTTCTCATTGCACCCCTCTCCTCCTATTGGGTTTTGCCAGCTGTCGATACAAGGTGCAGCCAAGGATGCTCCTACCTGCTCTCCTCTCCTTCCAGCAGTGTCCTGTAAGTGGCAATCTCAATGTCCAGGGCCAGCTTGACGTTCAGCAGCTCCTGGTAGTCTCTCAGCAAGCATGCCATCTTGTCCTTGGCTTGCTGCAGTGCAGTCTGCAGGTCAATCAGCTTCTGCCGGGCATCTTTGAGGGCGCAGTCACCCCGCTGCTCAGCATCACAGATGGCCGTCTGCAGAGCTGCAATCTGTGGACAGTAACAGGCAAGAGGGTGGCCAGTGGGGATATTAAGAGGCATTTCCACAGGGTTGCTCATGTACCCCTTTGTTTCTCAGCTGTGGACTGACAGAGAGCCTAGGTTTAGGTTGGACACATGTTATGAACAAGCTATTTAGCAGTAGCAATGGCAGTGTTCAAGGCCAGGCTGGACAGTGCTTGGAGCAGCTCGGTTAGTGTGAGGTGTCCCTGCCCATGGAACTAGATGAGCTTAATTTCCTTTCCAACCCAAACCATTCTATGATTCTATGAAGGGGAGGGGATCTGTTGGCTGCACCCTGGTAGGAGGCATACAGCAATCGCCGCTTCTGTTAGGGCCAAACCAACTGGATTCTGCCTATTTACTGGGAGAGAATTCTACTTCTTTGTGTATCAACAGCGGAAGAGAACCTACAACCTGCAAATGCAGGCTTAAGTTGGGAGCGGGGAGCTCTTTACAGCTCAGCAAGGTGGGAGCTGGTGAGGATGAAGCCCTTTGCACAGCCTGCTGCCCATGCAATGCTTTGTCCTACCTGTTTCTTCACGTTGTCCGACTCGCACTGCAGCTTCTGGATCATCCGGTTCAGCTCAGCTATCTCGCTCTGGTTGTTCCTCAGGTCGTCACAGAACTTGCCTCTGCTGCTATGGAGCTCCTCCAGCTATGGCATTGGAAGAGGATGACATTAGTGTGCCCACATCACCCCTTCCAGGGAATCTGGTGATGCTCCAGAGCTGCACTGACGTTGATGCTCCTGGGAAGCACCCAAAAATGACCTCAGCCTAGACGAGGTGACAGTCCCAGGTTGGTCCTGGGCATTTACCCTTGGGGAAGGGGATATGCACATCCTGATGGGTGTACACCTCTCTGAAGCAGCACAGGGACCTGCTGTGGTCTGGTTTTACAGGGAAGCCTCAAACCACAGCTTTAAGACTGGTGGGTTTTTTGGCTTGACCTTCTTTAGCCAGCTACGGTGCATGAACACCGAGGCGTGGGTTTGAGTTGTGTCATGGAGGACAGAAATAGTTGGTCCTTGGAGCTGGCCAAGAGATTTCATTGCCGTCAGTGCTGGTGGTGTGAATACTCACTCTGGTTTGGTAGAAAGCCTCCACTTCAGCCTTGCTCTTCTGGGCGATCTCCTCATAGCAGCACTCAACACTCTTGATGATGCCTTCCATGTCCAGGTCCCGGCTGTTGTCCATTTGCACGATGACAGAGGTGTCACACAGTTGGCAATCCAGCTGAGCTCTCTCCTGCAAGACCCACTGCATGTCAGTCCCCTTCCCTCAACCAGCCCAAGCCAGGCATGCAGGGACCCCTGGCAAAGCGGGGGGGTCTGCTGAGAAGGTGGAAAGCTGGGGAAGTTCTCCCATTAACACCCAACTGGGGTGCTGGGTTCTCTGGGTGGGTAACTGGTTTCTAGGAAGAGCTGGGACCTGTCTTGTTGACACAATATGGGATTGCTGCATGCAGTTCCCTAAGGAAGGGTGGAGAATCCTGGTGGGGCAACTCGCTTCATTACGATTTGGCATTTCTGGCTGTGTCAGCAGCTTCCTGGGCTGTGAAGCCCTCAGGGGTGGGTGCTTTGGGACCCTTTGCTGCTGGGAGCTGTTTGCCTGGAAAAGGGACAAATGCAAAGTGTCCCCTGTGTGCTTTTGTTATAAACTCCCTACGTTTTAGACCAAAGTGTTACTTTCACCAAAATACTTCGACTAATGTAGCTTCAAACAAGAACATCTGGGTTTTGAAGAGTGAGATGGTCCTGTGGTTCCCAGAGGTTATTTTGACTAGAATTTGAGGGGCTTTTTCATGCAAAAGATCACTCTTTTTGCAGCCAGCAATACAGGAGACAACCAAGGATGCCCTTTGCCTTCCAAAAGTGTGTGCAATGGTGTTGTTATCATATATATATATATAAAGAGATAGAGATTTGGGGGATGCAATCCCAGGATTTGCAGAAAAGGCCCCTTTCCCTGCTTTAGTTCTGGTGTGGGAGCTTGGGGGGCAGCAGATGATGCCTCGTCCCCAGGGCAGCACACAGGGAGCCAGGAGCTCTTACCTCGGCATAGATGCACTTCAGGAACTCCAGTTGCTGCCGCAGGAGACCCACTCTCACCTCCAGCTCCTCCTTGGTCAGGTAGAGACAGTCCACGTCCTAGAGAAACACCATGTGTGCAGTGAACAGAGGTGAAGAAACAAGGGCTTTTTGTCAGGTTTGGAGGAATTCCCACTATTCCCACCCTTAAACCGTCTGTTTTTTGTTGCATGTGCCCACAACCTGACGGGGTTCTCCAGGTTCACTGGGTTGCCTCTGTTGTGGGGCTACCTGATAAGGACTCAGTGTCAGGTTCAAGGTGTCCCCATTTCTCTCCCTGGCCCCACACTCAGGTTTTGCCCAGGATCCCGTTGCTCTCTGGTGGTCCCACTGGGGCTGTCCCTTGTGTCACTCACCTTCTTGAGGACCACAAACTCATTCTCCGCAGCCGTGCGCTTGTTGATCTCATCTTCATATCTGCAGGAGGAGGAGAGGAGAAGGGTGGGATGACGAGCCCCGTCCCCATCACCCAAGCAGCCAGTGCAGAGCATGGGAAGCGTAGTTAAAAGCAGAGCCTCTCCCTGTTGCTTTGTACCTCCCTTTTCATTTTTCCTTTGTTGCTGTTTCTTCCCTGATGGGCTTTGTTCAGCAGTTTCAACCAGCCCATGCCAGCAGTGCTGGTGGCTGGAGTGAGCGGGCAGTAAATCAGGCCAAACCACTACAAATGCAAAGCTCTGCACCCCATCTGAAGGCTGGGACTGCTCCTTCTGGCCCTGCTGCTTTGTGTGATGTTTTTCTGATGCAGGCAGGACTCTGCTCTGAGTGTTCATGGGGAGAGTGGCCAAAATGCCCCAGGGGAGGTCAGGAGCTTGAGCAACCTTTGAAACTCCCAGGTGCAATGGGGAGGAAAGTCCGTGTATAATAACCAAGTTAATTGGGACCTAGAAGAACTTTCACAACATGATTCTGGGCATCTGACCTCCTTGGTGGTGGCTCAGAGAGAAAACACACCTGAGATGCTTGACTGAAAGACCTCTGGAGAAAGGACTCCCCTTTCATCCTGTGCTGTATAGCACCAACCACCAAGTGTCCTGTCCTGGGGCTTAGCGGAGAGCACGGGGAGCTATTAAGGAGTATCTGCAGCTTAGATTAAAAAGCCAATTCCCACATTCCCTCTGGGAAGAGAGAATGAACCCCAATGGAGATGATGCGCATAAAGCGTGGGGTGGAGACAAAGAGGCTGAGGGTTTTGTGGGAACGGGGACATGAGATGTGGGGGAGCCACAGGCCCTGATGATGAGGGAGGTTTGATATGGCAAACCACAGCGGTGTGCAGGAGCATTAGGGAGAGGAAAAGCGGTTCCCTGTCCCTCTCCCTTAGGAAATGCTGTGGTTGACGAGCTCTCCCATCAGCAGCATCTGAGCGCACCAGTACTGGAAAGCGACCCAGTACTGGTGTGCTCAGTCCTGCTCCCCCTTGCTGTGCCCCAGTTCCTGCACCCATCCAGTGCAATTGCATTGGCTCAGGAGCAGCAGCAAACACCCGGGTCTGCAGCACTTACTTGCACTTGAACTCTTGAACCAGGTCCCGGAGACAGCGCTCCTCGTTTTCCAGCCTCTCCCGCTCCCCCAGCACGCACTCCAGCTGCTTCCTCAGGTTGCTGATGAAGTTCTCAAACACGGGCTCCAGGTTCCTCCTGGAAGCCGGCAGCACATACTGCTGCAGCAGCTCCCACTTGGTGGTCAGCACCTTGTTCTGCTGCTCCAGGAGCCGGACCTGCGGAAGCAAGAGATGCAAGAGTCATGCAACAGCCTCATGTTTCAGGCAAAGTTGCTTTGGGAGTCTCCACTTCCTAAAGGGAGAAGTAGAACTAAAATCAGCAATGCAAATGGTTAAGTGCTGGTTTCTCAGCAGCCTGAGTGAGACCAGCATCCTGTGGTCCCACCCAGGACTCGTATCACAGGCTGAGCAACGCTGATCCATTTGCTCTGTGTTGAGCCCAATCATCTATTGATCAAAGCTCAGCTGAGCCAAACACCACCCTGTGACAAATGGCTGGTGGAGGATCCACTGCCTCCTCTGATGGGCTGAGTACGGTAATGATCCCTGAGCAACGCTAAAAGCTCCATCCAGGGTCTCATTTGAATGTATCTGATTTAAACTCTAATCATGGATATTTATCATGCCTTTCACTTCTAGATTAAAGAGCTCTCTCGTACCTGAGAACCTTTATGGATCATGAATAAGTCATTTTTCAAATGGGAGGAACAGGAGTTGCTTCTCTTACATGGGTTGGGTTATTGCAGCTGCAGAACAGCTCTCAAGGAAGATCAAGATCAAGACAGAGCAAAGGTTTCTCTGCCATTTGAAAAGCCATTTCCTATAACACATCTCCAAACAGCAATGGGCTTAGCTAAGAAAACTACAATAGATTTTAGGAAATCACCAAATAATTTCATTCACAGAGTGGAGAGACAGAGAAGTTAAAATCGTTCTCATTTTAGCTAGAAATCTTCTCGTTTTAGCTAGACATCTATCCTTGTCTTCTCATTTTAGCTAGAAATCTATCCTTTTCTTCTCATTTTGTCTAGACATCCCTCCTTCTACATCCCCTTGATGAAGCACAAACTACTTTAAAAATACAAAAGTCCTTTGGAGTTTATAGAGGTGTGATAACAATATCAGATTACACATTTGGAACGCAACTTCCTATTTTGCCTTATTACTTTTCCATGCCTCCATTCGCTTTGATTTACGGTATTCCTGGAGCTGCTCCTGATTTAGCAATTTGGCAGAAGGGTGACCACCAGAAGGTAAAACACCACTGTGGTTGCCTTGGTGCAGAGCTTAAATCCAAACCATCTCCATGCCAGGACCACCGCGGTCTATCAGGAACGTTTACAGCACCAGGAGAAGTATCTCCCGTCGTTGTCTCTCTAGAGACAATCCATCCCTCTAGAGACAAAGAGCCTGCGTGGAGGGAAGCGGGGTCTCACCTTGTCGATGAAGCAGGCGAACTGGTTGTTGAGGTTCTTGATCTGCTCTTTCTCATGGGTCCGCACTTGGCACTCCTCGGGGTCGACCCCCACGCACAGGGGCTTGAGGAGCTCCGGGTGGATGCTGACGCCCCGAATCCCTTCCGATCTCCCTCCGCCGATGCCGATGCCGATGCCGCTGCCGTAGCCTCCCACGGCCACGCCGTCCCCGAGACCTCTGTAGCTGCCCAGGCCCCCGTAGCTTCCGCAGTTACCAAACCCCACGACCGTGCCCACGCCAAAGCGGCCTCCGCCGTAAGCGACGTTGCAACGTCCGACGCCGGCGCCGCCGTAGACCCCGCTGCGGCAGCTCCCACCAAAGGAAATCCTTTGGCCTCTGCCCAGGTCGCAGACGCTGCGGCTGCTGAAGCCCCCGATCCCGCAGCGCCGTCCCACCGGCTGGCACACGGAGGCCGTGCTGCTGTTGGCCCTGCCGAGGCCACAGACGGCGGATGCAGAGGAAAAGCCCCTTCTTCCCAGGAGAGAGCTGGAGGTGTAGCACTGTCGACTCATGGTGGCTGGCGGAGACGGGAGGCGGAACAGTAACGGCGATGCAGAAGAGCAGGAGGAGCAGGGAGTGGAAGAAGGAGATCTCCTTTACCTCCTCTGAGGCAGAGCCCTTCTCCTTATATACATTTCAGGAGGTGCCTGGGATGCAAAAATTTAATTTATCCACTGGGTTTGGCCTGCCTGGCAGCAAGGAATGGCTTCCAACATTTTAAAGCCACAGCAAACACTTCTATCTCATACGAAATAATGTGGAAATTAAAATAAACTGCTTTGCTTGCAAGCTTCAGTTTCAGGACTTATATTTTACTTAATTAATCTGCTTCCTTATTGTGTAATTATAGTTTAGCAAAATAAGTCAAGGGGTTTTTATTCATAGCTTGTTTACGGTTCGGTTTCACCACAACGTTTAATTACGTTTCAGGACCTCCTGCAAAATGTCATGGCCATGCCGCCTCTTCCAGGGTCCCGCGCCAGCTCAGGGCTGGCTCTTGAGCAACGACTGATGGCGATAGGGGAGGAGGAAGGAGTATCTGCCCAAACACAGGCTGTTGGAAGCATTCTCGTAAGCATTGGTTTCTTCCTCTCATGGGTACGGCTCCAGCTCTCCTAGGTGCTGACTCGTGTGTGGAGTAGGATGGGGACAGTGGTGTCCATATCAATGGATCATGAGTTTGATCTGAAGATGAATTCAATCACGGGGGGGCTCATGAAGTTGAGGCACTGGTCCAGCCGGGTCTCATGTGCCACTTAGAGTTGATGGTAAGGCATTTCTGGGAAGCACTTTGCTGCAGACAGAGATTTATTGCTGTGTTATGTGCCCTGGGAAGGTGATAATTGTGCTCAGCGCCTGGGTGTGATGTGACCGGCACACACGGTGCATTCACGCAAACGATAGCTGGAGATGCAACAAAGTGAAGTGTTATAGACAGGTTGAGAAATGTTAGCCGGAGTGAACCTTTTTCCTCGTATTCCTGTGACACACCTCTTTGACATGAAATGATTCTGGTAATGGCTGGTAATGAGAAGGTACCAACCCGTCTTAATTAAAAATTCTTAAAAAGAGTTTCGAATTTGCTTGGAAACAAAAAAAAAAGTCCTTTTTTTGCCTTGAATTTGCTTGGAAATAAAGTCCCTTTTTTGCTGTAACAAAGGGGTCTGGTCACAGAATCACAAGTGATTGCAGAGCTTGCCCAGAGAAGTCTTTGCATCTTTGCTGGGGCAAAATGAACTGGTTCTGGGAGGATTCCTAGTCAATGCTATTGTAAGCTTGAAATACATTGCCTTGAATTAAAAATGATGCAAAGGAATCAGGATGATTTAGAATAGTTTTTGGACTCTCTCCAGGTGAAGATCTTCCTATTTTTTTTTTCTATAGGTCTCATAATAGGTTTAAATTAACTATAAAATACTTTCTGCAATTCTAATCATGCAGTAGTTCCGTTGTAGCTGCGTTGGTGTGTGGGTGGGTATATTAGGTTGTGCATCTTGCAATGAGATGTACTTTTGTTTGGGATATTGAGATAGTGGAGAAAGCAGACAAGCTTTTGGGCGCTGCATCCAGGTAATCCAAGCAACAGGACCCCATGCTAGTAAGTGAAAAAGGGAAAACATATGGAAATGTACTATTTTGTGCTGAAGTGTTGGTGTAAATGTTGGAGGACTATTGGGTGTGTGCTCTGTAGACAGACCTGGAGCACTGCCTGGCAGTGGGGCTAAAGCATCACTTAGCCTTTAGGTAGGTCTGTACAACGTGACGTCAATGAACTCTTTTAGGTGAGCATAACAATGGGCATGCTGTAAAGCAGGGAGAGGCCAGGCTGTCCCATCACCAGCACAAGTGGCTGTGGTGCTGCTTTCTGCTGGCTTGGTGCAGCTGTGGTGGGGCAGAGATGAGACATTGGTGGTGGTGACCAGGAGCAGCCACTGCTCCGAGCTCTGGTATCCAGCAGGAGCACAGGGACAGACTCAGCTCCTTTTCATGGCAAGGAAGACGCAGCCCTTCATCCCTGAGGCTGGTGACATGCTGGTTTTTCCAGCTGTGAGAATCTGGATCTGGTTTGGGTCGGGTCCCTCCTATCCTCCATAGGAGGAGGATGACCATCCACCGTAGGGTGCCTTGAGCTGCATGGGTGACACACGTACCATTTGAGGGCTGGAGACCCTCCAAGCATCCCATGTTGTTGGAAAGCAGGAAAAATGCCTCTCGTGGGACAGCTGTCCGCGTTCCTCCACCAGCTGGGAGCCCTGCGAGCCCTTCTTCTGGATGACATTCCATCAGGCTGTTTCCCTGAGGATTGAAAGCAACAAACCTGCGCTTCAACCTTCGGCTCCTCCTCGCAGCCCTATGAAGTGGCTTCTCCCAGGTGCCCAGCCTCGCACATCAGAGGGAGACGGTTCAGGGCAGCGCTTGTGGTTTCCATCTGCTGAGCTTTCACAAAGCTGGTTCACAGTCACATGGTGGAAGCCCTGAGCGCTGGTTACATCAGCTTCAAAGGAGGAAGCACCCTGATGTGATTTGGTCTTCTGAAGAGAAGGATTGCAATCGCTTTTCTTTCATTGGGCACACACATGCACAGCACGCAAATGCCTCCTTTGCAGAGAACTTCTTCATGTCTCCGTGCTTTGTGCTGCCTGATTGCAGGACAGATAGTGTTTGAAGAGCCTAGAGAGGCTCTAACCTTCCTCTGCACAAGGAGGAGATGAAACCGCTGTTTTCAGGCTGGCGGGATTCATTAAAGCTTTAAAGGAGCAGCTTAACGCAGATTTACTGGGGAAACCCCTGAGGTCCTTGGCCCTAAATACGCCTTGAACTGTGGTGGCTTCCGTCAGAATCATGCCTTTGAGATTTACATGTACCCAGCTGCATTAGGCTAAATTAATTCTGCTTAAGCACCTTACCAAATTGGGACCTGTTAATCCATCCGTGCAGATAGGGAAAGCCCAGGGGGAGTTTTCCAACCTCCTGTTATGATTCCAGCTGTAATAACCCATCCATCCCTGTCATCCCAGGTGGGAAACCACTGTTTAAGACCCTCTCCTGAGAACACGGGGTTGTGAGGGCTTGGCTGTGATGGGCTCTCCCTCCTTCCCTCCCTGCAGGCTGGGCAGTTTCTGTGGCTCCTTGCGAAAAGGACCATGAAGTCACCATTGAAATGGCTAATGAGGCCCCTGGGACATCTCCCTCTGGTTTCTCGGGTCCACCCCTCCAAAGGTGGCTGCTCCCAATCTCTTAACTGCAGCTTGATTCTGCTCCCACATCAAAGCAGATGGTGGATTTGTGGGGATCAGGGTAGAGATGATGGTCTGGGCATTTTCCATCACCACTGGGCACACTGATTTCTTCCCTGTAACCTTGCTCCACAGTAGCTGCTCACACTCAGTCTGACTTGTCCCTGGCCAGTTATGCTGCTTTGGGGCAAGAAGATGGACAAGATAATTCCTGAGGTTCCTTCCAGGCTGTTCCTACAGCATCAGTGGTCACTGCCCATATACACCATTTGCATTTGCAATGCTGCCAGATTAAAACCTTGCCAAAGCCTTTACCCTCCTTCTGCAGGCTTTCTGCTGGGCCATAACAACCTGTGGGTGACCAGTGTCAGTCAGGTCACCAGCGTTGATGGGAAGACGTTGGAGTATCATGGCAGTAAGCTAAGCAGAAGAGAGTATCACTCCAAAGGCGATGTCTCATGCAAGGAACACGGAGAGCTACCTACTGACCAGAGCTGGGTGTCTGCCCTGCCCTGTGGTGCCTGCTCCACGCTTGGAGCCCTGACAGCAAATCCAGGTGCTTCATTCAGGGCAACTTCGTCATATTCTGGTGTATTCACAGCTCTGATTTATCCTCTTACTTTGCAAGAGACAAATATGTTTGGCACCAAACACCTCCAGTGTCCACCCCCTCCCTTTGTAAAGCTCCTCGTTTGCATAGGAATTTGTAAAGCACTTTTGCATCATCTGACCAGCTTTGTGCTAATAGTCCGGGCCTGATTAGGGTTCTGAGTAATGGGGTGGAAATGGTATGACAGTGCCACGATGAAAGCATAACAGCCAGGACTAAGCACTGGGAATTGCCACCCAGGGCATGAGGTTTGCACTGGAAGGGTTTTCTAGGGAAAGGGGAGCAACCCTTGTATAAAGCAGCCATGAGAACCACATTGGATCTCAAAGCTGAAAGCTCTGCCGTCCTGTTTCACGGGACAGTTGTCTCTTCTCCCCTATGGTGCAGACGTTTTTAACCAGAGAGCATGTTCCTTCATGCACTAAGCCAGCCAGGGACTCCAGAGATACCCTCCAGCAACAGAGTGAGCAGAGAGAGTGTGGGAGGAGGGAAATTCAGCCCCTGAATTTCAACTAGTTCCCATCGATAGGTTTGTAAATCTCTGTCTGTGTGCGTGTATGACTGTTTATAATAATGACCATAGAAAGAAGCTGTTCAGTGTCTGTGGTTAACGTCATGCACTTAATTCTGCAAACTTGCAAACAGGTTTCTTAAAAACTAAAGGAGAGTGAAGTGGAGGCAATGCACAAACATCGCGTGCACTTTACTGGCAGCAGAGCAGCAAACACAGAGCTTTTATCAGCAACACAATCTCTGGGTGCTGTGTTGAATTAAAAAGCATTGCTCCCCAGAGGGACAAGGAGAAATGCTCAGTAGAGAGCAAACCCCATCACTGGCCTTGTAAAAATGACCTGGCAGGTGAGATAGCTTAAAAGAGAAAGAACTCTTCTAGTGTGTGAGTCCTCTTACCTGAATTCAGTTACTCAAAAACTAGTCACCAAGTTGAAGTAAGGGGCATGGGCTGGATGAATAGTCAACGAGAGCTTGGTATCATCAAGCAAAAGCTTCTTTTCTGCAGTCATCAGTGCAGGAGAACCCAAAGATGAGCTTTGCAGGGCTATGGGGGCATGATCCAAGAGCAGAGGTGGTATTTGTGCACAGTTACCAGCCTCAGCAAAATAGAAGGACAAATGCAACCAGGAGAGGTAACAATGCTGTGTTTATGAGCACCTATTCATTAAGCTTTCTAAATGGACACTCAGATTAAGGAGATTACAGAAGGTACAGCTTCTAGAGGACGTACATATTATCCTAATGAATGGTTGGAGTCGATTTTGTGATTCATTTTACCACCAGCACACGAAAGACTTGCCATGTCTCACCCCACAGGTGGCAGCTTGGTGCATAAGCTCTGCATTATGGCTGTCTCTACTGGATTAACGAGATAAAAAGCAGTATTTGTCCTAGAGGAGTTTATAACCAACTTCTATTCATCACAGCCCTAATCCTCAGAAACACCTGCCCCAAAGTTACCTAAAGCCCCAGTGCTATCTGCTCTGGAGGGCAGCCAGATGAACGTGGGGCACCCCAGCCTTTATTTCCCCAACCCATCAAGCCCACAGGGTTGTAACCTCCATTTCCAGACATTAACTCTGAATTGCTACCAAACCACACATTCAGGGAGATAAAGTCAAGCAACGGTAATGGTGTCTCTGGACAGCTAATCCCTTCTCCAAAGTTAAATGCCTTTCTGCCACAGCCATGTCCTCCAGCGTGCAAGGTCAATATGCCTTCAGAGATGCAAAGTCATACATGTCTTTCGTTGTGTTTCTGAGGTGGATTCCTTCACTTCTTGACCTAAATCTCCTGTTTTAGGAAACTTTCTCCCATACCCACAGATGTGGCCACACGGAGTTTGAAATCCAACTGAACCACTATCACCATCCATTCGCATTGGTCTTGGGAACC